GTTTAGAGTTATGCTGGTCCCTCTTGCGAATATTCCCATGGCCAGTTTCATGCCACCCATGTTAGTCCCAGAATATGGGACTGAGAAAACGTGCACACAGTTTGCTCTCACAAGGCTATGGATACAGACATGAGCATAATTGAGGGAGTCAATCCAGCAAATATTTGCTGGGAATGTGTTGTGCCCAAGAGTAAGCATGGGGCAGGAAGGGTGCTCTGAACAGGGAAACTTTCTTTTAGGGGCAGGGGTGAGAGGTGAAGAGCCAGGTACGGGAAGGTAAGAAATGAAGGCACAGGCGTCTGCCAAACAGACTCCGGGGTCGCCTTGAATCCCGAGGAAAGTCAGTCTGTGTTTTCGAGACAATTGGTGACTTCTGCTGCCCCTGAGTGACAGAGCAGCCAGCTGGCATGGGCACTTCCTAGCTGCCGTCTTAGCTGGGTCATTTAACTTGCACAAAATCCCGTAAGGCTCTTTGCGACACCCTCCTCCCCATTGAAAGATTAGAAATTGAGGCATGTGGAGAAGGGAAGTGACTTTGCCAGAGTCACAAGACCAGGAAGGTCTGGCCTTCGTGCCTGTGTTAGTGGCTCTCCGTTAGGAATGCCTAAGCGTTCATTTTTCATGTCAGAGACGGGCTGTGCCAAGAGTGCCCTGGAGAAAATAATTCCCTAAAGATGATGGCACTGGTCTATAGGGAGCCTGGACCTGCACAGGGACCGGGGATGACTGGGAGGGAGGAGGGCCAGTATCCTGGAGGGCCAGCTCCACTCAGCAGCTCCCATCTCTCTTTTATATGGTGATCTCACATAAACTCTCATTTTACAAACGGTTCCTCTGCTGAAACCAAACAAAATAAAATGAGTTTGAAAACCTCTGGGCCATGCCAAATCCTTAAATTTATGGAGTCGGTAACTGAAGCCTGGGGAGCTGCTAGCGGTCATTTCGACCACTCCATATTTCTCTTCTAACTTGCTGGAGTGTTCGGATACTACAAGACTAAAATAACTTGGAGGGATTTCTCAGAAAATGCAGTATAGCCCAGTTGCCTCCTCCACCCCATGAGGGAAATGGCTAAAACAAATTTGAAGCATGCTAGGAACACAATCCTCTGGCTCAAAGGAGGGCATAAGTCTTCCCTCTGTGTCCTCCACCGGGTTCCTGTGAACTGGGCACTGCGCACTTGTCTCAACATTCACTCACATCCTAATTGGTGCTGGGGACGCTCCTACCACACGTTGTTCTTGTGTATGATTTCTCTGTAGGCAGTCTCCCCTCCATTGAGAGGTTTGCCCTTAAAGGCAACAAGGTCAAGGAATTGTAGCTGCAGAACCTTTCCCTGTGCCCACCACCTTCCACTTGATCCTCTCTTCTCCCCACCTAGGGGAAGACTATGACCTCATTGCCGAATTTTAAGATATAACTCACAAATTAAAAACTGAAAGAAGAAACACATTTTTCTGTCAATGGCTTAAGGGGATTCCATCTCTAAGCTGCAGTTAAAGCTTTCTTAGTCTTTTTTACATTTGTAGCATTTTGGAGCAATTTGCTAGAGTCAAAGAAAGCAGTGAAATTCCCACAACTGACTTCAAAGCCCCCAAATCCTGTATCAGTGGAAGGGAGTCTGGTAGCAACCCCAGAGGGGACGTTATTCAAAGAGAAACGTGTAAGAACGTGCTAGGCATTTTTGCCCAGGCATCTGCGATTGATGTTAATGGCAGACACGTGACCAAATCCCCATGTAGTTCTTTGAAGAGACACCCCTTCCTTTTCTTCTCCCCAATACTGTGAACTGTGACAACGCGGACGATACAGAAAAGAATGACAGATGGACTCCTGCTTCAGCCCCATAAGCAGCACTGGCCTTGAATGCACATGAGTCCCCTTTACCTGGTGCAAAGTGCGGAGCAAGGTCGGCAGGCAAGAGGGTGGGCTGCCAGGATGGGCTGCCACTTGGTAATGAACTCTAGATGAAAACAGAGAGGAGGGAGGCTCGCGGTACTCCAGGTCTCCAGCCCCGTTCCTTCCTTCTTCCTTCCTCTCTCCTGCTTTGTAGTCGTTCACCACATTTATTCCCTGGCTGACCTTCCAGTTCCTTCTTGAGCCCAGCACTGCCTACCCCTCTTGGACTGCGTCTGGGACAATGCTTCCCTCTCCCAAGTCTTCTCCGAGTCCACATCCACATGCACAAGTCTCCTGCTTGTTCTAGATGAATCCCCAACAGCAAGCCCATTTTCCAGCATGGAAATAGCACCCTCTGTTTGTCTAATTAAATACTAAAAATACTTGAAATGTAAAGTTTTAAACAGCAAAGCAGTCAGAATAAAAAAGTTCATTGTCAAGAGATCTCAAAAAGAAATCGCCTGCTAGGACTGGGCTCAGTTGGTAATGTGTTTGCCTTGCAAGCGTGAGTGCCTGAGTTCAATCCCCAAAATGCAGGGAAAACAAAACAATAACAACAATGGCAGCAGCAAACAGGTCTAGTGGCACACATTTGTAATCCCAGTGCTAGAGAGGCAGAGACCAGGCTAACGAGCTCAATTAAATCAACAAATAAGAAAGCACCCTGCCCAGGCGACATTTATCGGACTGTCCGGATAAGAAAACTTTATCCACCAAACACACAAGCAGTCCTCAGGACAGGGGACTTTTGAAAAACTAGAAGAGAGTTAGAACAATCTCTCTAAGTTTTTAGCAGATTGCCATCTGTGACATTTCACAAACTTCTAAGGGCTGTTATCACACCTTGGTGTGCTTGTTTCGTTAGCCAGCTGCTTATTCAGGGAGATCTGCGCTTTGCTTGTAAAGTTCTGAGCTGTGGCCACTGTGTGTGACTGACTCACATCAAACAGGGCTGTGTCAAACACAAGGATGTATCAGGTATGGACTTCACTCTCACATGGTCTCAGCATCTAAGAGGAGAGGGAAATTCACAGGGCCATCTTCTTACAAGGTAGAGCAATGAGTATGTTCAATGTAGATCTGTGTTTCTGTACTTGTGTGCATGTGTGCGTGTGCATGTGTGCGTGTGTGTGTGTGTGTGTGTGTGTGTGTGTGTGTGTGTGTGCAAGCACCTGCATCTGTGTGTATCTGGCCTTGAGAGAGAATCAATGAGCCTGACAGCATGTGGTCGAACATTTTGGTTAATCAGGACAGCACCATTCTCCTCGGACTTGCTTGTACAGTAACCCCCACCACACACTAAGTGCCTGATGGGATGATGACAAACGTTTTATATAATATATATATATATATATATATATATATATATATATATATATATATATATATATATATATCATTGGTTCTGCAAAAGCCTGTGCAAATCATTTGAGAATGCATCTATGTTTGTAATTTGATCACTGAATAAGCATTTTCTTTTCTACACAGATTATTTTTTAAAGGCATCACAGTGTAAAAAAATTCTCCATCTACCAGTTCAAATTCTCTATCTCTAATTAACCGCTAAATTTGTGAGATGCTAGGTGCATAGCTGATTGGGTAACCCTCCTTGACTTCTAGGTCAATTACATACCCTTTTTTCTTTCTTTCTCTCTCTCTCTCTCTCCCTCCCTCCCTCCCTCCCTTCCTTTCTTTCTCTTTCTTTTTTTAAAGAAAAATTTGTCACATGTGATCCCAAAAGTCGGTTAGGGGAAAGGGACCCACCCACATCCTCAAGCTATGCTGTGGCCAAGTCAGGTTTAAGTCGGAGGCTTCCAGCCCCAGCTTGCTCTCCCGGAGGGACCTTATCTGACTTCATTGGCCTTGCTCATCATGAATAGAGTTGATGTTTCTAAAGGACCAAGGAGGCCAGATGGAGTGGGAAACACAAAGCGATTGTTCTGCCTTTCTCATCTGAAACTGGACCTGGGAGATGCTGAGTTGTCAGAAGGACGAGACTGTGGGAGCTTTGCCAGGGGCTCTTGGCTCTCTGTGTTTTCTATAGGCGCTGGTGCCCCTGCATTCTTCTCCAGGACTCCCCATTCCTCCTTCCATACTGCAATGTCTTGGAATTGTTTAAAATGAAAATACTGGTGCCTGAGCTGACCCACCCCTTAAGGCTCTGATTTAATTGATGCGTGAGTTGGGACATTAACATTTTGAAGCCCCACTCCCGTCTAGGGACATCCAGGACTGATGACCCATCTTCTAGGTTCAGAGACCTGTTTGTACCCAACCCCCTCACCCCTGCCTCCAAAGCAAGTGTACATGGATATTGAGTACAAATTTTAATCTCCCGTATGGGGACCAGATCACTGTGCTAACCTCATCCAATCCTTGTCTCAAAAAATCTGACTAAGCAAGAAGCTGGCCCTAAGGACCCTCCCCTAGCTACTGCTCATCCAATGTTAGATGAGCCAATCAGCTCTCTTCTGAGTTGGGGAACCTAAAGTGTCCAGCTATAAGCTCTGATGGAAACTTCAGAGCAAAGGACATAGTTGGGGTGGGAATTGAGTGTGAAGGTGGGAACCATGTGTACCCCAAGGCAGATGCATTAAAAAGAGGGTCAGAGAGAATGAACCTTCACCCCCAGTTCTCACCCAAGCCATCTTATATTCATGTTTTAGGAGATTCCTCCATCCTTTTAATAAAGGAACCTGAAACTGAAGGCAGCTTTCACAGCCACAGACTCTGGCCAGAACCCTAGGAAATTATGCATTCCATGAAGAAGCTTCGAGTCCCTTGGATGGCTCCTCCAGTCACAAAAGGCTAAGCCAAGTTAAACAAGGCCTCTGGGTGTGCTAAACAGGCAGAGGATCCCAAGCTGAACTCCTGAGATCTCCTGGGAGCCCAGGAAGGCAGGGCAACTCCTGGACCTCATTACTGCACAGCCCTATAGGATTTACCCCCACGTCATAGTTTTCTCTCCTGAAGTATACATTGCAGACAGAATCACAAACAATTGTTCTGGGCTGATAAGTAAAATGAACACGCAGAATGCAAATGAGTCACTGAGGACAAGGTTTTCACCAGGGAAAATTAATAAAAGGGTTCTTTGGTGCTAAATGAAAGAAATGTCAGGACTTTAATACTTTAGGCAATCATCATTTTTTTTTTTTCAAAATTGCCTGGCACAATGCTTGTTACATGAAATGGTTGTTTAAAAACCAGGGTCCATGTTCACACAAGTTTGGAAAATACTGCATGCCATCTGTGTTAGTATAATATGTATACAGGGCATACATATTAGCATATAAAAGCTCTGAGATGGATGACAGCAATATTAAATGTTTAACACACAATTTTCCTAAATTATTTGAGCAGAGAGCTCCCCAAAGCACAATGATTTTACTTTATTTTTTTAGGGGTGATGGGATTTTTAATAAAGGAATAGCCATAAGCTATTGTTCTATACCAACCTCAGTGTACTGATTTTGAAAATGTTTATTGTAAAGCAAAGGGCTGGGGGTGGGGGAGTGCAATACTCTAATCCCAAAGTCATTCTAATGTAAACCAAGGCTTGTTAAGTGTCAAGGTCAGAATTCCATCCCATGTAACATTGTCCATGGCTGAACATGGTGGGGGTGTTTACCCAGTGCAGGTGTTTTACATACATTAACATATTTAATCCAAGTGCTTTACATATATTACCATATTTAATCCTTTATGCTCCCTTTTGAGGGACAATTCCCATCTTCAAGATGAGGCAATTGTATTCTTTTTAGTACCAGTACCGATTTCGCTGACAACTTTAATTCAACAGGGCTTCCATTGGAGTGATTTACCAACCCCGATTTATCTTCAGTGTCCAGCAATTTCCTGAGTGACTCTTTACACATTATGGAGTTTTAAGGAGATGCGTCATCAGTTACTTTTTAAACTGCGGCAGGGATGACAATCATGAGCTTTTGAGTGGAAAAGCCTTTTACTACTGCCTACCAAAATCGAAGTACAGAATCACTTGTTTGGAGACCAACAAGGGTCCTTGGGGGTCAAGACCACGAGAAGCCATGGCTCTGGACCCCCAGATACTAATCACGTTAACGTGTCTTTTCATCTGAACCACACTCAACCCTGCTCAGGAAAAGAGGCCAAGGAGAGGGCACTTGGGCTCTTACAGTACAAATTGAGGCTAAAAGCTGGAGTGTGTGACCCAGGAAGGCTGGGGACAGACTGACAAGGGAGGAAGTGGCATGGTAGGTACCTTAGCAAGATTATACTAAATGGTCACAGAGCGCCTAAATTGCTTCGTGCCTAGTACCCGCCACTTCCTTATAGTGGATTAAAGTATCTGCTGCTGTACTTGTTTCAAGAACTGAAGATGACATAGGTTCTGGCTCCCGGGAGACTCCTGTTCCCCAGTTGCTTCTCATCACATCCTTCAAGTCTGCAAATGGCTGGGTGGGATATTTGAGTGCACGGATGGTTATTCTAACTTCGACAAACAGGTATGGCCTCCAGGTGGCCATAACAAATGTTAAATATCAATTGTTCTTGAAGGATGCATTTTAAAAATCCTCATACTCTGTGTAGCTAAAGCAGTTCCAAGTGAGATGTCTTAGTTAAGTCACACAGTGTCTGCTTAAGAAAGTAATGTCCTACATCATGATGCTCCATCTCCATGCATGCCAGGGTACTCATTGAGGGCCCCTTCTGTATATTTTCTTCTTCTTTGAAAGGGCGAGCTCCAGACAACCCCCTGCTGAGGTGCTTCAGGATCCAAGATGCTTGTCACATGCACTGACATCCTGGGTGCAAGTTTGTCCAAGGTACCTTTGTTAAAAAATAGTTTCCAATTTCAGAAAATAAAACCTTGCTTGTGTGCACGCAACAAGGGGCGAATAAGCAGAATGTCTTCTCTGAAAACAGAAAAAGATGAGTGAATGAAACCATCTGGCATTAATGTCAAATGATTGTTTCCCTAACAAACAGAAGTCTCATCCCATCATTCAGCATTGTACTGTTAGCCTATAATGCATTGTGTTTAGTGTTCTGGTCATTTACAGAATGTATTGATTTGTACTTTATTTTATTGCAATGTTTTGGGGTATATTTGTTGAGGTTTGTGCTGCACCGAGCTCTCCTTGGTATTAATAAACCCTAAGATTAAATACCCAGGACGTGAGTAGAACAGCATTTTCATCAATCCACTTTCCACTCTCACACCAGTTTCATTTTTCACAGGTACAGATGTTATTGTACATTGTCTCATTTCTCCATAGAATCCTATGCCCCTATTTATCTCTCCTATTAACAGCTTAATAATTAAATCTGGAAACACAGACAAGGAAATATGTAATGAGAGAATTCCAGTAAATCACACTTGGCTTCAACTTGACAAATCAGATAGAGAGTTTAACACACAAAGCCTTTCAAAACAGCTGCCTTTCCAGGTATAAACCCAGCAGTCCCCCAAAACAGATGAATACTTATTTTTGGTTTGATGTTAATCACAGCTTTTTTTTTCCTTTAAAAAATTAATTAAAAACACTAGATCGAATAAATATTTCAGGAGACCAGCAGTAAAATGGGGAAATCCCATGTGTTTGGAGTTTTAGTACTCTCTGAGTACAGAAATTTATTTGCAGGAAGCAGAAAATAGACAGCACGCATAAAAACACAGCCGAGTCCCCCTAGTGAAATTATTTATCAAGCTAACAAGGGAGGGACCCTTCTACTCACAACAAGCCAGCGAGGAAAAGACACGGCTTTATATTTTACCTTTGGGTTAGTAGACCAGTAAAAATGCCAGCTGACAAGCACTTCCCATAAACATTTCTTTCTAAATGAGCTTCCTTGTTAGGGAGAAGGGGGAAAACAAGGCTTCTAAGCTAAGGCACGCTATAGCTTCTGGACAGAAAATTCTAGCTACGTACTCTGACTCTTTGATACACAAGTTCCATAATTGAAAAGAAATATAATATAGTAATGCATATTAGAAGTGGCATTTGGATCGCCAATTATAATGTCATTAATTTCAATATACTTATGCCCTCGTCGTGATAGCCTCTTGGGTGAACGTATAGATGAAGCAGTCTATGTCTGCAAAGATACTTTTTGAGGAACAGCTTTAACAGGCTCTGAAACAAACCATGCACACATATATTCATGCACACAGATACTTATATATTTATATATCTGCATGCATGAATCTAGCATTGCATCCACTGTGCAAGCCTGCTTGCTATACATTATTTTTCAAATGTTTGTTTCATGAGCAAAACCCCGAAGTCAGTTTTGCACAGTTTAACTTGACGATATCAAACTTTGATTATCAACTACAAGAATCTCTGTTGTAGCTTGCAACAGAAAAAAAGGAGGGTGGGAATAAAAAGAGGGGGGTGGGGATAAAAAGAAAGAAGCGAGGAGAGGAGCCGCTGAAAGCACACTGTGACCTGATCCCAGTTAAATTTTAAAGAAATAGTAAATGGTGCCTTCCCAGAATCACTGGATCATCAAGCACTCCTCAGGGAATGCCTGATGAACTGACAGGGACCTCTCACTGCCTCTCCTCTTTCCAAAAGTGAGAGTCCCACCCATTATCTGTGGGATTGGTGGCAAGATGCCTTTTTTGTTTTATTGTGGGAGAAAATGGTCCTGGTGAAGATAGGTCTGGTGCTATAAAACGCTGAGCAGAGGGGCTGGAGAGATGGCTCAGTATTAAAGAGCATGCACTGCTCTTCCAGGGGACCCGAGGTGGGTTCCCATCCAGGACAGGCAGCTCATGAGCACCTGTAACACCAGTTCCAGGGGATCTGACTGATTGCCCACTCTCCCCCCCCCAAAGCACCTGCATTCTCATGCACAAATCCACACATGTACACATACATAGAATTAAAAAAAAATAAGATGGAGCCTAACAAATTAAATAAAATGTTAAGCAGAGACGGGCATGGCCATCTTGCAGGAGTGGTACCATGACCCTGCCTTCTCACCAGTGCATCAGCAAGGTGGTGGCAGTTGGTTTCAAATGCATGGATGGCTCAAAGGAGATAAGAGGCAATAACTCTTACAGGCTCTTCCTCATTTGGCCCCTCTCTGCAAAGAGCATCACAGGATAACTCTGTGAAACCTCCTCCTCTTGGGCAGGAGGCTCTGTGTACTCTTCTTCCAGGGCCAAGGCTGAAACTCTCCAGCTCAAATCCTACAAGGCTTCTTTGGGAATTATGTGTATTCTCTTCCCACAGATCTGAAGGGATGGTTTGGGACTAGGCCACTCTCCGTTCCTGAGTGCCGTCTTTTCTGTTCTTCAACAAGAATCTTATAAGATGCTACTAAGCAAAGATGAGAGCTAAAAGAAAAATATGTCACACTTCAAACGGCTGTCCCTGAAGACCAAAATGTTTGGAAAACACTACACCTTCACCAATACCCTTGTGACATACAGCTCAGCTAAGGCTGGCTTTGAAAGCACCAGGATGAACATTCTGGTGTGGTTTCACTGCACCAGCAGGACACTGAGCAGGCAGAGAGACAGGGAATGTGGGTAAAGAAAAAGATGCTACTGAGCAAGGGATCTTCATGGAGAAACTTCCTGATGACATCTGGAGAGAAGAGCATCTGGGAGTCCTCAGCCTCAGGCAGCGTAGCACACTCAGCTCCTTGACACATAAAAACCCAGTTTCCCTCCTCTCCCCTGTCTACTCCAGGAGCACACACCCAGCTGCAGTTTCCAAAAGTGCAGGAGAAAACTGGTGGTAGCCCATGCATTTTGCTTTTATATTCTACTAGGTAATGGCAAGAACCTGTTAGCAATTTAAAGGGAGACAGTGCAGAGAAGCAGGAGCAGGAGGAGAATAAGACATTAACGAAGTAAGTAATAACAAAACAACCTTTGAGCATCTTGAGCATTGGACAGAACTTGAGCTACCCACAGGAGCATAGGACAAGACAGCCCCTCTTAGCTCACAAAGGTCAGCATTGGTACAGGAATTTCTGGTCTCTCTGCTACCCTCCATGAGCAGAAAGGAGAAGGCCTGAACCTGTCACCAGCAGGTGTGTTCTCTTGTCTAATGCAGGGTGAGATTCCAACATTGTGAACCTATAGTTCATGCCTTGAGATTTTCTAAAGGAACCTCTGTTTTCCATTCAGGGTATGGGAAGGAGTGAGGGAGGAAGAGGGAGGAGAAGAGAAGGAGAGTAGAAGGGCAAATAAGGAGGGGGATGGGAGTAGGAGACACGGGAGGGACAAGAGGCAGAGAAATAATAAAGGTAAACAGAAAATTCTATTCTATTCTATTCTATTCTATTCTATTCTATTCTATTCTATTCTATTCTATTCTATTCTATTCTATTCTATTCTATTCTATTCATGTTCAGGACAGTTGCAACTCCACAGCAGCTATGGTCCCTTCTTTTCATGTACATCAGGCATGAACCTCATTTTAAAATATAAACAAGCCAGAAGCACACCACAGCAGTACAGATGCCAGCTCTTTAATTAACTACCATCAGTAACAAAAGGTCTCTATTTTGATTAAGGGTACAGAAGGAGAGTCAACCCCAGTGCCTAGGAATCCCTTTAAATAATTAGAGCCCCCAACTCAATTCTGCTGCTGGGAGTAGGCAGGGGCCAGGGAAGAAAAGAAACTTTGTATGTGGAACCCAATTTAAGGGAAGATGACCTCAGGGTCAATTTCTCGGAGCATTTGCAATCAATTCAATTCTCACCTCTACTGCCTATCTGCTAGCAAATGAACTTACTGTGCTTTTCAACAGACAGGAAAGACGAAGCCAAAACCTTCTCAGCTGCATGTGAATAACCACATTAGATGATGCTAGCAGAGCAAAAAGAGGAAAACAAAATCCTACCAGCAAGACCCTCCTTCATCTCTCTGTCTTTCTTGATCCCCGATGATTTCATCACAGGATGCAGTCTTGCACCATTAATGAGGTATTAATATCTGCCAGGGCTTATACCTGCTGCCACCATAAGACTCAGTTGACAATATCTGTAAACCCCACCACACGTTTGATTTTTTTCCCACAGAGCCCTGGAACCATACTTCTCTCTCTTTCTGGATGATATTAGTTCCACCCAAAAAAAGCATGGTGCTAATTAATAGCTTTACTTTATTCCCAGTAGATACCTAGAAAGACAGGCACATTAACTCTGCTGGCTTTTCCTTGTCCTGGTGTTTTCCAAATATTTTAAATGGAAACTAAAAACAAACAAACAAAACTCTCTGATCCCCAGTGCTTAGCTCATTTGTGGCTGATAATTTCTTTGAGTGCTGGGAACTGAAAAAGAAATGCCTACACAAATCTTGATAGTCCTTTTCAGGGTAAGGAAATGCCTGACTCTGCCAGGGAGAGAAGAGGGAGTTTAAATGTTGGTGTGGAAGGCCGGCTGTAAGTCTGAGCTTTTGACAGGTAACGGCACACGTGCCTTTATGATGAAACTTCCTTACAAAAGAATCACTTTTGTTGTAAGTCATGAGGGCTACAGGGTTTGCAGAATTTCCTCCTCTCATGTCCCTCAACTAAATATAAAATATTTCTTTCTTTAAGTTCACCACTTCAATAGTATCTCGAGGTTAGAGAAAAGGCTAGACATTTAGATGGTGGGATTAGGCTAGTAGCCCACTGCCATAAATTGATTGAATTGGGGAGGAGCTTAATCTAAATAAACAAACAGCAGCAACAGAAAACAATTAGGGTGAGTCGGGATCACGAAACACTTTAAACAAAATCTTTTCCCTAATTGTCTCAGCATCAAAGGATATAAAAATTCAATAAGCTTAAAATATACTCACGGGTTTTACCAGAATGGTCCCCACTACAAATGCTCAAGAGAGATGGAATATCTTCTTCCTTAGAGGATTTATTCTAAAGACTTATTGTCTAGATGCCCCAATTAGCCTTTATCCAGGGACAGGGTCCACCAAACATTCGGTACCAATCAGAACTTACAGTCTTGGGGAGGGCAGCGCTCCTTTGTGTGGAAATACAGATTAATCATTTCTGACCAAATATTCTCATAGGTCTGTGAGGGATCCTGAGTGCAGTATCTTTATGTCATAACTAAACAGGTGCATATATTGTGCTGAGGCACCCACGTTCTCTGGGAACTGTGAACTTACGTTTGCACTCTATTTCCTGAGGCGTATAGGCAACACCGAGAGACAGGTAGACAGGGACAAGCCTTTGAAGACGTTGTCTTTGTCTTGTCGTTTCATGTTACCCTGTTCATAAAATAGCGGGTGGCCTTCCATATACCCGATTACTTTCTGAAGACATTCAATGGGAACAGGGAAGGCCAGAGAAAATCCTGCCCATGCTGTGAAGACTGGTGGGTAGGGGGTAGAATACGGGAACAAGGCATATTTCTGCAAATTTCATCTCCGGTAGGTGAGAGGACAGCCACCACCAGCCTCTCCCTTATGTGTGTGTCTCATCTGTCATGCCTAAGACAGCTGTGTAAGACCTGACTGCATCCAGGTTAGTCTAAACCAAGAGCAGGAACATCTGAAGTGGTCAGAACAGACATATGAGCTGGTTGTGACCCGTTACCACCTTCCAAGACCCATGTCAGTACCTCAAGACACAGGAACAATGGAAAGGGTCGCTTTCTAATTTGATGCGAATCGCAGGTAGTTAGATCACATCTTAGTACACTTCAACCCAGGAGACAGCTTCAAAGGCTAGTTCAAAAGCCACCCTGGGCCGTAGGGTCAGGCAATAGCATCACTTGTTTCCATGGCAACAGTCACACCTTAGCCAGTGAGGCTGTGGGACAAGTCAGTCAAGAAGTAAGTTGACTGGATAGAGGGAAGACAAGCCATGCTTAGGTGTTCAGGCTTGCGTGTTAGGAGAACTTCCTTGAGAAAGAAGGTCTATATGCATTTGGACTATTAGTAGATCTGGGTCTGTGACATAGAATAGAAAATGTTAGTCAAGGTCAAAGGATTCTATTGCATCAGAGAATTTAATCTTCTTGTATCAACTAGGTGAATATTTTAAATTGTGTGTGTGTCAGTAAGTCTGTCTGTCTGTCCGTCTGCATCTGTTAGGTGCCCCAGAGGCCAGAGGAAGTGTCAGATATCTTGGAGCTGAAGTTACGGGTGTTTGGGAAGCTCCTAATATGGGTGCTGGGATCTGAACAGGGGCCTCTGTGAGAGCAGTGTAAGCTCTTAAGAATTGAGCTGTATCTCTAGTCATTGGATGAATATTTTGTAATATGATCATGGACCATCACATAATCTAGACTGTATTTCTGACAATAAATAAAAAGCAACTAGATAGCACCCTCCAAATTTGTGGTTCCATTTTCAAAACCTACCTTAACGTTCAAGTGCCAGACATGAGCTACTAAGCTGTGCCTGGCTGAAATTAGCAAGAGGCAGAAAGCCTATTGATTCACCATATTCACACTTCCCTGAGTGAAATCCCTTAGCCAAAGCGATTTCCAAAAATAAGCTAAGCAACTCTCCCCAAAGCACCAGGCACTGAGCTTTCTATACATTGGCTTGTAATACCTAATGCCATAAAGGAACTTGGAGGCACTGTCCTCCTCCCCAAACTCCCCTCCTGACCAAATGTCTTTCTCTCCCTTGCTCTTGCCTGTCAATCATGTTCACAGCTGAAATTTGATTTCTCTCCCACCGGTAACCTTATATGAAATATTACCAGTGTGGTTAGGACCAGTGTGAAACTTGCTTTTAATGTTCACTAACTTTTTGCTCAAAATGGATGGTTTCAATGTCACAAAACCTGCCAGCAGGCCTAGATCATTGTATTTAACAGGTGACTTTCAAATTAGAATTATAAAGATCTGCACAAGAAAGGAATAAGTTCTGCAACTGCATGCACATACGGACATACGAGCCACACTGAAGGAATACACCAAGTTCAAATTTAGATACATAAATTCCTTTAAAAAACTGTTAATTTTTAAAAGGTTAGCAGAGAAACCATATTGTGTATTCACATTGCAATTATTAAAAATGAGACTTTCCTCACCACAGCAAATGTATGTAAATAATCAGACACTACTTTTGAATAGAGGAGGGAAAGTGAGCTCTTTTTTTTCCCCCAATACTCTCATTTACCGGATCCCCCGAGAGCTTCCTTTTCGAAGAACTACAATTTGACAGTGTGACCTTTACCCCCCACCCTCCGCTTCAGTTTTGCTAGATACAGGAAGGGAAAAAAAACAACAAGTATTTCATGCAAATTTCTCAGCAAGCAAACTTTGTAATAACAAAAAAAAAATTATACTTTGTTTCACTAGCTAATGAGAGGTAAAAAGAACACACAAAACCATGACACTATGCAGTGACTAGGGTGAGAGTGTGGCTCTGGCTCTCCAAATGGAGAGGGCTCATAATTAAATTCATGCTGGGATACTTGGACTTGAAAACACATTTAAACAGCTCCATTTTATTTTCCCTGGTAGATGAAAATCAGATTGTGGCCTTCCACGTGCCTTCTTCCTTCCCCTTCTGCCTCCGATTGCTGTGGAAGGCGGCTCCACAGTCACATATGGATTCAGAAGGACAGCACTCTGCGTGGCAACTCTGCTAACATCTCCAAATGTGAGTGCAGATGTTGTAAGCCGTTGTAAATTTGGAATGTTCACAAATCCAGGTAGAACTGATCAAGAGAGTGGGTGTCAGTTTTGCTCAAATTCATCCAATGATCTGGTATTCAAGGAGAAGGGCTGCCTTCTCCAGTGTGGGCAAAGGTTTGTGGTACGAGAATGAAGGGTTTGAGATCTGTTCAGATTGGATTAATCTGTAGGAGACAGATACTAATGTAAAGAAATCAATACCGAACAGCATGCTGGTTCTCACCCAGACAGCTTGTGCCATTCTCACAGTACCAAGTGTCACAGTTTATGTTGCATGTGGGACACTACTACTAAAAGGACCGAGCCCAGGAACTCCTCCTTGTGTCTGAGGAGCACAGCATTGCCAGCTGCAGGGCTGCTGGCTTACGCTCCCTCCCTCGCACGGCAAATCCATCCAAACAAGCACATGCACATCGAAGATCCATGCGTACCTGTTTGATTCCGGCCAACTGCTCTGCTCACATCACAGATGTAGAAGAGTCCCTTGGGTACCTGATTCAGTAAATATATTAAAATAAACAAAGGGTGATTAATATCCGGGGAAGAGCCTTTGAAAGACAGTATGTGCAAGGTCGCTTAGCTACCTATGACAAGGCAGAGATGGTTAAAAGAAGAACAATCTGGTCTAGGTGATCTTGCACGGTGGTCTCAGCCCTACCAAGCCAGAAATTGGGTCTGAATGGAAGGAAGCAGTCCACAGCGAAGGAAGCCTCCTCTTGGTTATAGGCCCCAAAAGTGGGATGCCACTGGCCTAGCATCAGCTTTAAAACTGTTCTCAATTCACAGAGAACCAAGCCATCCTGGGTTCATAGAAGGGGGATCTATACAATTTCTGGTAAGCTTCTCTGTCTCTCCCATTGCCAGCTCCTCAGAGGAACCACAGGCCCAGTTCTTTGGGCACTTCCTGGGTGCCTGCTCATCCAGACTCTGCCCTCTCTTCCATCTCTGTGGTCTATTTTACTAGCCACTCCGGACAATCACTACAAGTGTTTTCTTAACCAATAGTAGCATTTAGATGTCATCCCTTTGTTTATTTTTTTTTCTGTTTAAATTGGTAGCCAGGAATACTCAGAATGAAGGATTGAAAATGAGGTTACTTAAAAAAAAAGACTTATTGTTATAGAATGAATAACAAAGCACAATAATTCAAAATGCTTACCTTTCCAAAAAAAAAAAAAAAAAAAAAAACCCAAAAAACAAAAAACAAAAAAGCTCAGCTTATTTCTATTAGCTATACTAATGTGGGTGGCAAAATAGTGTTCATTTGCTGTACAGAACCTAATATTTTCTAGACAGCAGCTTAATAACAAAACAGACTTGTCATTTCCTCCCACGGATAGTCACACTGTACCAGTCCAGGCTGTCAAAATATATTTAAAATCTAATTTAAAGGATTCAACATGGTTTGGGGAAATCTGTGTACGGTAACTGCAATAGAGCAGTAAGTCATTCTCTCTCCCCCGCCCCCCAACAAGGGCATTTCATTATTTTCCTCTCATCTGCCACACTTCTATTTGGACGGTTTTCCAATTGGTGGGAACAAATAGACAAAATGCTCATTCACGTGCTGGATCCCAGAGGCTGTGTGGCTGAACGCGTAATCTTCACTTAAATTGTCACTCAGCTTTGTAACTCTTATTCTTTTGAATGCTTTCTATGTAAAGTGTAACACTGCTCGGATAAACAAACCCTCGCCCTTGTACCTGCCGAGACCACCAGAAATTAATCACGTGTTTTCATTTGTGTTTCCCATTGAAATGCTTTAAAAACCATGAGATCCACTTGTCTAGTCTTCACATACTTGTCTCCTCCTAAACATATATTTTTACAAGAAGGAGGGAGTAGAAAAGAAACGAGAAATACACTGAAATTGTTTCAAAATCTGGAAGTGTGCCATTTAAGATAAACTGTTCCTTACTGAAAATTTAGATAGTTAATCTCAAAACAAAACAAAACAATACAAATTTTAAATTTACCATTTAGAATAACCTTCTCTTCTTCTTCTTTTTTTAAAAAAATCTTTGTGAATAATAGATTCTCATAGAAATGCAAGTGAATGGAAGGGTATGGAAGCCTAGGAAGCGGTGGGAGGGATATCGGTATGAACCCTTTGCGGGGGATACAGCAAACATGTTAAGATTTGACAAGGAGGATTTACATGAGCTCAGATACCAGCAGGGCATTTTACAATTTTAGAAAAATATTACAAAGCAATAATTGGATGTGGGCTTTGTAAAAATGCCCCCCTCACCCTGTCCTTCCCGGCCCTGTCATTGATAGTATCTGTTATTTTGGGAGGAAAAGAATCAGCTTCATTAAATGCAATATTTGGCATCTTGCCTGAAATCTCATAAAGTAGCTGTCCTTTTTAGATCATTGGTGTCATTTTCCCCAAGATGACCTCTATGCTCTGGCTACCTGGGGAACCTATCCGATTATCTAGGCACTTACTTTCCAAAGCCTGTGGGAGGAGGGCCCTGGTGTTTGCACACCTGAACGGAGTCCAAAAGCCAGTGCATCCTTGTTGTTTTGTTACTGCTGTTGTTCTGCTACTTTTGCCTAGACTAATCACTGGGGAGGGGTGAGGGTCAGGGGATCTATGATAACAGTGAGATAGGAGAGTTTTGAGCTGAACCATGACCACGTAATCAAGGCCGGATCGCTGACAGCACAGAGCCTCTTACCCTAACCACCGAGGAGGTTGTCGCTGTTTTAATAGCATGAGAGTGAACACCAATATTCAAGTTAATATTTCAAAAGGGCTCGATCCCTTCACACCACAGTGAGTGCACCAGAAAGTGGAAAGTATGGTCTGAAAATATGCCACAGGTCATCTGCCATGTCTCACAATGGCCCTAGACAGACAGGGGTGGGAGTGGGGTGGGGTGGAGTGTCACTTGTCTTTCATAGGTGAGGATTTTTCCAAGACAAGCCAAAGCGAGCCTAGTTCTTCTGCTCATGCAGGGCCAAATGGACAGAAGAAATTTACCCTGTGACCATTTTAATTTCATAAAGTAGAAACTGCAGATTTATCTTTAAACGGCCTCTGTACTTCACTGTGTTACATCAAAAGAGCCAAATATATAAATCAATGGCAGAGGCCCGGATATTTTGAATTTGTTGTCTAAAAGCAGAATGACACAAATATGGGTTTTAAAAACAGATTTGATATGGTGTAGTTACCACTGGACATTTTTTTCTTTTTCCTTCCTGTCAAAAAGGATTAAAATAATAATAATAATAATCCAACAGTATTAAAAGTGCCAGTGATGCATAATCATTGTTTTGGTTTCAAAATATTCACCTGCATAGCTAAGTCCTGCGCTGAGAGACAGAGAGTTAAAATGTAGAATATTTGTTTATTAAGATACAAGGGGCTGCCTAGCTTCACCCCTCCCAAAGGACAGTGCCTATGAGAAAGAGGCTACCTGGGTTGAGGCCATTCCAACGTGTTTCCTTTTAAAGTCCGCCTTATGAAGACAATTCCGAGGTGCTGGCAGTTTGGAATTGTGTTAAATCCAGAAAAGCAAAACAACTGTCAGAGAAGCCCTCTGAAAACTTGTTCATCTGGCTTTGTTCTGTGAGGGGGCACTCAGCTACAGACCACGGAAAGTCCAAAGCATGAAGAGAGACTTTAAAGATTTTAAAACAGGCTACCTGTAATCCTCTGTCCCCGCTTTTCTTCGTCTTCTGTCTAATCAAAGCGGGGAAAGGGAAAAAAAAATCTGGAAAGTTAATAGAGTAAAACACACAGATGCTCTGGAGCTCAGGAGATGCTCATCTTGTTTACAGAAAGTTCCAGGGCGCTGGGAGGTAGAGCAGCGTCCCAGGGGGACAAGGCAGAGGTTCTGGCAGCACACTTTGTCCCACCCAGGTCCAGCAGCACAGTTCCTCTGGTGGTTCTGACAGCCCAGAAGGTCTGCTCCACCCAGAGTCATCCTCTAGGATAACTTCAGCCAGATACCGAGGCACATGGGGGTTCCCTGCAGGGGTGCTGTCTCTGGGCCTAGTACAGGACTCAGGGACAAGCTGGTTGTGGCTGCCACTGTAGCCCCTAGCATCAGGCTGCTGTTTGGGCATCTCAGAGGTGAAACTGGTGCCTGGTCCCCAAACATGCACCAGCTTCGAGTAGGCCTGTGGCTGCAGGCAGGGCACTGAGGGACTGTCTGGTGGCCTAAGGAAGTCACTGGCCACAGACAGCCATCCTGGCTTCCCCGACAGCCTCTTTCTTAGTTCAGCCTGGTTCCCATCTGCTGTTCACCAGTCAGGGGAGTCTCCAAAGGTGTCCAGCACTCTGACCCCTCAGCTCTGGCTAGGAATGGGGACCAGCTATATGACTGGTCCCCACAAGCCAAGTGTATATGTCAATGGGCAGAGGCAGATATATGGTGTGATGAGGAGTGTGTAGATGGTGGGAAAGGGGCCGCTCTCAGCCTTTTCCTGCCTGCCCTTCTCTTCACTCCAAGCTATGGAAAGCTTTTTACAGTGAGCAACCATGCACCCTATGCTAACCGGACTTCTTCCCTCTCTACCTTTGTCTGCACATAACACTGCATCCCGGGTGACTTGTGGTAGCATTATCTGCTTCCTGGGCTGGAAGACCATACCACTCCAGGGGGCTCTCTCATGGCCCTGTGTGACTGACATAACAGGCCAGGGTGCTGACAATTAAGAGGTGGACCCTGGATAGGACAGGGGTCAGGTGGTAAGGGGCTGAAATGTTGGTGTTAAGGGCCTCACTCTTTTCAGCAATATGTTGGGGACCTGGAGGTCTGCCAGCCTCTTATCAGTGCTCCCTGTAAACAGATAATTCTTGGGAGAGTCCCTAAGCATGACCTGAGATGACCCTAAGCAATTGGAGGTCATAGGTCAAGGTTGGCCTTTGTCAGTAATTCCTTCCCTAGCAATTGCAGCCTCTTCCTTCCCTCTGGATTTTAAGCCTTGACTAAAGCAGCCTATTGTCTTATGGACATCAGGTTCATGTTTCTTCTGCTAAAGTTCCCACAGGACATCCAAAGCCCACTTCTAGAGGCTTTCAGAAGCAGATGCTGTCACGTAGAAGCTGGGAAAATATTGGTTGCAAAAAGGGCATGTTTAGCTTTGTCTGGATTTGCAGGTCACAACCGTTCTCGACATGACATTTTTCCTCCTTCCTGCCTAGTTCTGCGAGGGGTGGTAGCTTCTCTAAACCAACCACGAGGAAATACCTTCTTCTGAGAGCTCAGTTTGGAAGCAGGCAAGATTGGGAATCAGAGCAGATTCCAACCGAGAGATCTAGGAACAGAATCAGCCAAGCCAGGCTTGGAGTGTGGGTGGGTGGGGACTGAACGCCGCCCGAGGAGAACTGTTTCCTTCCACCCTCTGCTTTTTGTCCCAAAGCAGGGATGCACCTCTGAGTCCCCCTTCCTGAATGAATGCCCCTTTCTAAAAGGGAGCTAAAAACTCAAGATGGATTTTTTTGCAGAGGAAAGGAATGCGATGTTGTAATCTAA